ACATAAAACGCATTTGGTTGGTTTACAAATTTCACAATTCTCACATTCTATACAAATGCTATTATAAAGAATGAACGATGAATTGCATTGAATACATTCGTTGTTGTTGCATTTAGAACATCCACGGTGTTCACTACAAGGTATACAAACACCAGAATGTAAAATGAAATTTTCTGAACATCTTAAACAACTCGTACTTGAACAAAAATCACAATTCGTTGTACATGCGTGACATGTACTTGATGACTTATCATAATAATATCCAATTTTACATGATAAACATAAAGTTGTATTATTATAGTTACAAGTGTGGCAATTATCTGAACAATTTTTATCACATAAATCATATGGATCAACATATCCGCTTTGACAATTTCTTGGATAATCCATGTTACTACAAGTATCTACACCATTTGTTTGATATTTCATTGGACATACTATTTGTTATTTTTTTATTAAATGTAACTATTAATAACAAACCAGAACACGTGTTATTATCTAATAATCTATAATGAACATCACAACTTAAACATGTCGTTATATTTGAACAAGTAATACAACCAGGAATAATTTGGTTACATAAAACACATTTCGAATTATATAAAGCGTAAAAAGTATTACACGAAGTACATTCATATTCTGTATTGCAAGTTAAACATTCATTTAAACAACTTCGACATGTTTGTGTGGTTGTATTATAATACATCCCATCTTGGCAATCATTTACACATCCAATTTTAAAACACGGAAGACATACACCATCAACTAATTTGAATCCACGAGAGCATCTAAGACAATTATACGAATTTGTACACGATTTACAATTGTTTTCACAGCCTTGGTGTTATTAATTGTTTTTTATGAAAAAACAAACTTATACATTGATTAGTATGAAGATAAAAACCTTCTTTACAAATAAAACAATTTGTCAAATTTGAACAAGTTTCACAATTTGAAGGACATACTGAACATATTTGAGATGTTGTTGATACATAATCTAAAAAATAACCATCTTGGCAACTTGTACAAAACAATTCAGTTGTACATGTGTGGCATCCCTTTCTACATTCTTAAAGTTATTGGGTTGTTAAAAATTAATAACAAACTGTAACAATACAAATATGCACGGTCTTTATGACTTCCCTCTTTACATCTATCACACAAACCAGCAGTACAACGAGCACATTCATCATAGTTACAATTGTTTATGGTTAAAGATAAATTAATAAACATAAATAGCAACGACAATAATCGCATAATCATTTTTAGTTTATTTGAATCATTTGTTTAAATCTCGTTTTTTAAAATATTGTATTTTTTGTCGTTTTTTATTGCCTATCCTTTGAAAAACAATCAAAATGTTATTAGTAATTAATTAAAATTGTAAATTGGTGATAATTTAAATTGTTTTTAAATGAGTTTTATATTTATTGTTTTTTATTTTATTAAATAGTTTTAATTATTCAATTAACATTTCAACTATTTATTCTAATAAACCTTATAATACTGTTAGTGTTTTAACTCGCCGACGTACCTAATCCCCAACAAACCAATACTGTTAAAAAGAGCAGTGTTTTTGTTTTTTTGAAAAAAAATTATATTATACAGTGTAGTTCAATTATAGTAAAATGAAAATGGAATAAAGAGTTCAAATCATGAACTAAAAAACAAATAAATTGTGAAAAAATGAAAAAATAATATAAAATTTCATGACAAAAACGTAAAAAATGGCAAAATAAGAATACTGGTAAAATGCAATAACATTTTTAAAACAAATAAATATGTTTTTATTCATAAAACAATAAAAACAATTGGTTCTGAGTTGAAAATGAAATACATATTGCAAAAGATACATGAACACGTCAATGATAATTAATGTAAACATATAAAATTTTTGTACACAATAGTCTTTATAAAAAATAAAAACTTTTCAAAGAACCTATTATATTCACTGTGTATTTTCAGATAGTACGACGTAGCAAGATTTTTTGACAATTTTTGTCTCTCTCAAAAATATTTTTATTATTTCTTGGTATTTACAATAAGGTGACTAATATTTTGAAGAGTTTTTATCAAAAGAATTTAAAATCGAACAAGCAATCATTAAAAACGGATTATAATGTCAAGTCTATTATTAATTTAATAAAAATTTCCCTACACTACAAATAATCCACATATTTTTATATTGTTGTCTAACTTCTTGTCAAATATGTGGACTGATTAACCAATTGTTTGTTGTTGACTCTTGATATTTTGATGTAGATAATAGCACATTTTTAATAATCTATTGAAAGGGGCGTTCAAAATGAATAAGGTAAACCACAACTATATTTTTAATTTTCCAAACAACAAAAAACCAAACTTCTTTGTCTATCAATGCTATTTTATTGATTTATTTGGTATATATTTTTAATTTTTGTTGTGTTTTATATTATGTGTAATTTATCTTTTTATTGTCAATAACAAGGTATTCTTTATTATAATTATTCTTTATATTCGGGTTGCTTGATAATCAATTACAGATGCATCGCTGTCTGCAAAGCGATGTATAATGGATTCTTTTTATG